TACCCAATCTGCGTGGTAGGAGGGGAGGGAGATTATTTCCTGTGGTCCATAGGTAACGCTGTATTCTGCAAAATGGCCAAAGCAAGCAGCAAGTGATGAAGAAGTCCCTCAAAAGAAGCCTGGCATTTAATTAACTTTTCAAAGCGCTAGTTCAGCAAGCTCCGTGCATCTATATTTTGCATATTGAGCGAGTGAGCATCTCTAATGGGTCTGAATTGTCTGACCTGCCGTGGTGGCGAACTCCTGCTTGGGTTATACAAACACCACATGCTCGTGTGAGTCCCAGGGACACAAGCTTTGCTTTGTGGACTGTTTGGGTTCCTGGCCATCACTTCCTCAAGTCCATATCCATTAACACTTCTGGTGGAAGACAGTAGGCAGCTGAAAAGGAGGTATCAATTTTGCTGCTCAACAGCATCTGGAATTGTAGGGATATGACTCTCATAACATGACTAGGCCTTTTTTCTACAAATTAATACTTGGAATGGGGGTGGTGGTGGTACAGGGAGCAGGGGGACATCTGTATTGAAAAAGTTTTGCATGTGATTCTGTTGCGGTCTGTGGTTAAGAGCTGCCTGTTTGCAGGATTATCTGCAGCTTTCAATTCTTAGATTCCTGTGTGCACAGGAATGCAGACAGCTGCGTGGGTGCCCTGGGGATGCAGGCATGGCAGCGGGGCAGTATGTCTGCGATCTAGGGTGAAAGTCAGGGAAGCAAATTCTAGTGTCAGGCTCAGCACTATAGCCCTGTGACACTATAGCCCATGGCCACAGTGCCTGGTGTTCCTGAGTGGCAGTGGTTACTGCAGACACCTGCCATAGCACTGTAACATAGACACTGACATCTTTAGAAAGTACTGAAAACCATTGTGTGTGTAGCGCGGTGCCATCTAAGATGCCTTTGGGGGTCAGATGGGTGTAGCCTATCCGTGAGGCAGAGCTGTACTTCATAACGGCTCTCCGGAGCACACACATATGCACACTTATCTTTCTATAGAGGAGCATACACCAGGTCTAGAAGGCACTTCCCACCTAGGCTGCCTTGGGCTCACACACTGATATCCACATGACTGTAGGACATCCTACTGTTCCCTGGCTCCTCTAAGAAAACCATGGACTCAGAATTACTCCTGGCCTTGTGGGAAGGAGCCCAGGGTGGCTGAGGTCAGGCTTCTGTCCCAAAGGCTGTGTTGTTACCAGGCTTTTTTTTTTTTTTTTTTTTTGGTTTTACGAGACAGGGTTTCTCTGTTTTGGAGGCTGTCGGTCCAGCCTGGCCTCGAACTCACAGAGATCCGCCTGCCTCTGCCTCCCGAGTGCTGGGATTAAAGGTGTGCGCCACCAACACCCGGCTTTTTTTGGGGGGGTTACCAGGCTTTTTATTGCAATAATCCCGAAAGATGAGCATCCCATGTTGAATAAACAGCAGTGCGGTCCAAACCAAACTGACTGACACTCTAGACCAGTGGTCTTCAGCCTTCCTAATGCTGTGACCTTTTAATACAGTTCCTCATGTTGTGGTGACCCCCAACCAAAAATGATTTTCATTGCTACTTCATAACTGTAATTTTGCTACTGTCAGGAATCATAATGTAAATATCTGTATTTTCAGATGGTCTTAGGAAACCCCTGTGAAAGGGTTGTTCAACCCCCAAAAGGGTCTTGATCCACAAGTTGAAAACTGCTGCTCTGGATAAAGCCCAGACATGGCCAGTTTTCCATCTGTGTGAGCCAGAGCGAAGGCGGGGCTCTAGCACAGAAGCTCTCATCTCTCAAGCAGGGGTGTTCCAGAGCCTGTTACCTATGCCCTGGGGAGGGAGGGAGGCAGGAAGGGAGGGAGGGAGGGAGGGAGGGAGGAGAGGGAGGGGTGGGAGGGGACGGAGGGGATGGAGGGGACGGAGGGGAGAGAGACCAAGTGCATCCTTCCCCAGGACACCTTCTGATCTGTCTCCTTTCTCCAAGAGAGAAAGGAGATGCTGGAGAATGTCCTCCGGCTCCCCCCAGAGGGAGAGAGAACAGAATGTGGACTTCATAGGAGTTGAGTTGAATCTTAAACTCACTCCCTTTTTGGACACTGAATGGGTAAATGGCCGTTAATCAGCCTTCCCCAGACATTACCACTGCCATCATTGTCTCCTCTTAGCAGAATTCCCCCTGCTTTTGCCTTGGCATATTAGAAATCACAATAGCACCATGAGGGGCAACGAGACCTTTCACGTGAGCGCCCTTGGGGGTAATGCAGAGCCTAACGCAGGGACAGGTTGTTCCATTCTTCCAGCCTCACCTGGGCCTGTGGTAATGCCTCAAGGCAGGAGCATGTGGTGGGGGGGGGGCTGTTAACCTTTGGGGTGGCTGCAACTCCTGAGGGTGATCAGAGATGAATACATCCTATGTACAAAGCGAGGACACTGGCCTCGAATCCCTGCATCTCTGATTTAATTTTCCCATGGCCTGTTCTCTTCCTCCCATGCTGACTGAGACATCTGGGCGGTGAGTTGACAAAGGGTCACTATGCGGCCCTTCTGGGCCCATAGTGACACAGTTCTTTGTGATAGGAACATAAGTTGGAGGAGTTTTTCACCTCCCAGTGCCCAGGAGGTAAAAAAGAAAGCGTAAAGAATGAAATAGGGTCTCAGTGTCTCTTTCAGAAGCACTGCCCAGCAACCTAACTTCCTTCCACCAGGCCCCACCTCCCAAAGGTCTGCCACCTCACAATAGCACTGCAGTCTGGGGACCAGGCCTATGGGGACCAGGCCTTTGGGGACCAGACCTTTGGGGATCAGGCTTATGTGGACCAGGCCTTTAGGGACCAGGCTATGGGAATCAGGACTTTGGGGACGAGGGCTTTGGGGCCTATGGCATGCGAACCTTTAAGAACATTCACTATCCAAATCTGTGAGTAGCTGTCCCTTTTCTTCCAACTTCACCTGCCTGTTCCCTTCTCTCTCCTGACCTCATCCGTCATTTTCTGACTTTTAAAAACAGTGCTGGAAGTGGGTGGGGCTGGAGACTGGCTCAGGGGTTAAGAGCAATCACTACTCTTGCAAGGGACCTGGGTTTAGTTCCCAACACCCACATGGCAGCTTACAAGTGTCTAACTCCAGTTCCAGAGAATCAGATGTCCTCTTCAGGCACATACATGGTACATATACATATGTGTACTAAAAACACTCATACAAGAGAGATGAAAAGAAATTAAAAATAACAACAACAAAACCGTGCAGGGGGCTGGAGAGTTGGTTCAGTGATTAAGAGCACTGGCTACTCTTCCAGAAGACCCAGGTTCAAATCCCAGCACCTACTTGGTAGTTCAAACACATGAAAAATTAATAAATAATGAAAAATATTAAAAAGAAACAGTGCAGTTGGGATTAGTTTATTTAAACTTAGGCTATATTTTTATTTCTTAGTTGATAAGAAGTTAATGTATACTCAGTAGCTGGGGGAGTTATTTCCACCTTGCAGACATGGTAGTTGGCCTGAGGGAACTCTTCCTGTGACATTTTTGGCTCTGCACTGACAAAGGTGAGAATGTCATGCTTCCAGCTGTTGTAACACTGCCACCACGCCCAGACTCTGCCTATTGTGTGCTAGATTTCAGACTGAAAATAATTTATTTAAAAGAAAATGCAAGTCTTGTTGTGGGGATTTTCAAACATAGAAAAATAGAGCCACCATATCCCCCAAAGCCACCTCTAAACACCATCAACAGTTGCCAGCCAGAGTGTCTGTGGTGACTTTCTTAGGTTAGAATTACTTGGAATTTTGTTTAAAATCTGTTGTCCTAGATTGAGGGTGTAGTTCAGGAGAAGAGTATTTAGCATGTGTAAGACCTCACTTCTGTTCCCAGGAACACAAGCTATTAATACCACTTAATAAAAGCAATAATAATAATAATACCACAAATAACAACAACAGTATGTAGTCCTGGGTTCCCTGTCCCCATATCAGCTGATTCAGAAATCTCCATGCCAGGCCCAGCAGTTTGCTCTTCTAACAGGCTTCCCAGTGGCTCTCATGTCACTAACGTGTGAGAACTGCTGCCTTAGGTAAAGGCATGGGTGTCACACAGGTTCAGATCTCACCCAGTGCCAGTCATGTGAAGACAGAGAAGGCTGCTTGCTTACAAGAGGAGTCAGCACACCCCCTGTGTTCCTGTGAAGTATCTAGGCTGGTAAGGACAGCACCAAATACAGCCAGAGCCTTAGTCAGTGACAAAAGCAAGCTGTTGTGAGGCAGCCAGTTGTTGAGAGAGGCATTGTGTGTATCCATGTCCGTTTTCAGCTTTGGCTCTGCCAACACTCAAACCCAACAATCTAATTTGGAGTTGTACTGAGCCAAGGCTTTAAGAAGACCCTACATGGGACTGGGAATATGGCCCAGGCAGTAAAGTAACCATGCCGTCACGTCAGGAGGACCTGAGTTCTGATCCCCACATCCACATAAAAAAGTAATATGGTCATGTATGTCTGTAACCCTGGCATTGGGCGGGGGTCCAGAGATTGCTGGTCAGCCTGTCTGGCCAGTGAGTACCAACTTCAGTGAGAGACACCCATCTCAAAAGACATGGTGGCAGGACATGGGATATGGACCTTCAATCCCAGTGTTTAGGAGGTGAATGCAAGGCAAGTGGATTTCTGAGTTCCAGGCCAGCATGGTCTACAAAGAGAATTCCAGGCTAGTTCTGTCTCCAAGGGGTGGATGGGGATGGACAGACAGACAGACAGAAGGTAGGAGGTGATTCAAGGATACATCTGATCCAAACTCTGCCTCTACTCAATACATGCATAGCTGGGGGTGCACCCTCGCACACGTGCACATGCACACACACACACACACACACATCCACAGTTACACACACACACATCCTTACAGTGGCTACAAAGAAAGCATTTGGGGTATGCTGACGTGCACTTACCTGAACCTCTCCCCAGGCATACTCCAGCATGTGACATTCATGGATTGTCATAAACTTTGTCTCTCTCTCTTTCTCTCTCTTTTCAGATTGGGAAAGAAATTTTCTGAAGAGATGGAAGAGTAAGTTCTCATGTTCCTGTGTATCCTGTAGTGAGCTGTGCGGCAGTGTGTCCTTGACTGTCATTGTCTCTCCGGTCTGTGTTGAACATGGCATTGAAAACACAGAGGGAGGGCTGGAGAGATGGCTCGGCAGCTAACAGCCTTTGTAGAACACCGAGGGTGGGTTTACAGCACCACGTGGCAGCTACAACCATCCTTGACTCCCGTTACAGGGGCGCCAGCCTCCTCATCCCACCCCCATGGAGACCGGCACACACATACAATGTGCAGACAAACATGCAGACAGAACACTCATGCACACAAGTAAAAGTAATAGTGAATCTCAAAAAGAAAATCGGGGGCTCTGGAATCTGGTGGTGGCCTGGGGCTGGGATCTGCATGGTGAGTCAAGAGCTTGCTTCACGTTGCCTTCACCCGAAGGTCAGAACCCACTGGGGCCATGTCGTAGTCTGTCAGCTTTTCAGGATTATATGTCCAGGTATCAGGGTACCAGCCCAAACTTTCTGCTGTAACAACATAGATGGGCAGAAATAAAGATAGTCTACTGACCCTGGCCTTCTTCTAAGACTTACGTTTTAAAAATGAAGTTAGTTAAAATTGAGGAAAAGGGTTCTAGACAATGGAATGACAGCAGGTGCTGTCACCCCTGCAGGGTTGGGAAGAGCATTCATGTCAGTCTGTGGTTGCTGCCCTTGGGGATGGTGTGTTGCACAGCCTATGCCACCATGCACAGCAGACCAATTTGCCTGAAAAGGTTTGACCAAGGTTACGGCAGAAGGAGAGTTTTTATGTATTACCCATTGTCTTAGACGGGGTTACTAGTGCTGTTGTGAAAAACCATGACCACAACAAGTTGAGGAAGAAAGGGTTTATTCAGCTTACACTTCCACATCAATAAAGGACATCACGACAGGAGCTCAAGCAGGGTAGGAACCTGGAGACAGGAGCTGATGCAGAGGCCATGGAAGGGTGCTGCTTACTGGCTTGCTCCCCATGGCTTGCTCAGCCTGCTTTCTTACAGAACCCATCACCAGCCTGTGGGTGGCATGACCCACGATGGACTGGGCTCTTCCCCATTGATTACTAATTAAGAAAACGCCCTACAGCTGGATCTCATGGAATTTTCTCAACTGAGGTCCCCTCCTTTCAGATGACTCTAGTTTGTGTGTCAAGTTGACATAAAACTAACCAGGGCAGCTGTTAACTCTAGGTTGTTGCTATCTGTGTTTGACACTCATATTCTGCTCTCCTATTTTCCTCTGACAGCCGCCGCCTCAAACAGCACAACCTGACTGGATCAGATGAAGGAGAAGGTGAGCGCCTTAGAGGAAGTCAGGGCATGGCCAGGAGGCCTGGGAGCCCCTAGGCAGTCCTTGGCTACAGCTTAAATCCCAGAGGGCTGCTCACACCTCTGCTTTCTGAATGCTCCTGCCGGGGAGGGTGGGGGGCGAGCCTGCTTTATCCACTCTCCTCCTTGGTCCTGCAGAACTCCGCTACAGTGTGTCAGTTACCTTTCCCAGGATTACACATCCAAGCAGCAGAACCCACCTACACAGTTGTTGGAGATTCAAAACTCAGGCCTTCATGCTTTCAGAGCAAGCACGCTTACCCACAGAGCTTCTTTCCCAGCCCCAGTTCTTCTTATTTAAAACAAACCTTCTATTTGCCCATGTGTATTCTGTTGCTACAGTAGTCTCTAGTAACCATCTTGAGTGCTTGGGCTGCTAATTCCATCATTGCTGTCCCTTCTGAGTCTGTTTCTGTTGACTCATTTTTCTTCTGAAAGAGGTATTCTCTCTCTCTCTCTCTCTCTCTCTCACTCACACACACACACACACACATTGATGAGTATAGGACACTCTGGATGTGAACATGCTGATCCTGGACCTATTTGCCCCCCTTCAAAGGCTGACCTGTTTGTTGGCAGGTAATGTATCTTTGATGGTGATCAAGTTGTTCATTTTGGGAGCTGTCTGGAGCTGGCACTAAGACATGTCCAACTTTTTGCCAATAAGACAAAATGTTGTCAATTATCAAGTTCATGCTCAAGAACCATACAATCAAGTTACAAGGAAGGAGGGAGGAGGGGAGGAGAAGGGGGGAGGGAGGAAGGGAGAGAAGGAGGGAGGGAAGGAAGAAAATTGCATTTTAAAAAGGTACAATGTTTTAAGTAAGTTTCCAGTTCATGTTGAGCTGTATTTGTAGCTTTCCTTGGCTTGAGGGTGACCCATGGCCATGGATTAGTATAAGGCATCTTGTAAGTGAGTGCAGTGAAATCACTGAACAAGATCACTCTGTGGGTAGCTTATTGAGGGGACAGACTGCCGTACTGTCTCACAAAATCAGAGAACAGCAACTCCGCGGGAAAGCCTGGATTTTATACAGCAGTCAGCAGGGTGGAGGCTCACAAACTGGTTATCCACAACCAAGTGTATTTTGCCCTGTCAGTTGAAGAGAAGTAGTGGCCTTCCTGACAAACAGAAACCCAGATCCTAAGATTCCTGGGGGCTGCTGAGTTCAGGTTTCTGTTTACCCAGTAAGAGTCCTGCCTGTGTTGGATCCACCATCTTAGGACTCCATCAGCAGGACTGCCGTTTTGGTGCCTGCTATGTGACCGATCTCATCAAGGTGTTGATTCCCTGTCTGGGTGCAGTCAAGCCTTTTTTGGTTCCCCAGGAGTCCTAGGGATGTCTCGCCTCACACCCTGACTGAAGACCTCTGAGGCCTGGGGAGGACAGGAGCCTCAGCTTGAACTAGGAGATGATAGTGGGGTTTATCTGCAGTGTAGGCATCTGGGCAGTCTGGAACAGTGGGTAGGTGTGAGTGTATGGCAAGTTGTGCCCTGCGGGTCAGTTTTTTTAGTAACTTCAGTCTCCAGTTGCTTGTGTATTTGTTTGTGACATGGGGAAATGTGGGCTTTATGTAAGAAACATTAAATTCAGGAAACCTGATTTCTAGAGCTCATTGGCTGAAACTTCCAAATGGAAGTAACAAGAAAACAACGCGATCCCTGATCTGCTGGCGCATGCTCACAGGGTTATCTCCAGGCTGCTCACCACTCTGCCTGGAGCCGCCTTCCAAGGCCCTCAAAGGGCTTCTGGAACCCTACTTTCTTCACTGTGGGAAGGGCTCCAGATCAAGGAGTAACTCTGAAGTGTCCCGGCCAACCTTTGCAAATGCTGCACTTTCTGCCTGTTAACGTGTGGGACCAGAGGCTGTGCCGGCTGCCATAGGGCCACTGCTTTAGAGTCGCTGCTGTGGCTTGGAGGGGCTCGTTCAGCCACGTTGAACAACCTGTCCTTTAACACATTGAGAAATTGAGGCCTAGAGGCTATTACAGAGTGTAGCAGGGCTCAGACTGCCCTTCCAACTCCCAAGAGAATCAGTTCCTACACCTCAGTTGTCCGCCAGTGTCGCCATCACCGTTTACTACTGAGAGTTCACTTTGTATCAGCCACCAAACCAGGTGGTTTACATTTTCTTGTCTGGGATAACAGGGATATGATATCACATTTAGCTTATGTTTTACATATTGTGTCATGTGACTCTCAAGAATAATCCACACTCTGTGTGTGTGTGGTGTGTGTATATGTGGTGTATGTGTGTGTGGTGTATATGTGTGTGGTATGTGTGTGGTGTGTGTATGTGGTATGTGTTTATGTGTGGTATGTGTGTGGTGTGTGTTTATGTGTGGTATGTGTGTGGTGTGTGTATGTGGTGTGTGTTTACGTGTGGTATGTGTGTGGTGTGTGTGTGTGTCGTGTATGTGTGTATGGTATGTGTGTGGTATGTGTATGTAGTATGTGTTTATGTGTGTAGTGTGTGTGTGTAGTGTGTGTATGTGGTGTGTGTTTATGTGTGGTGTGTGTGTGGTGTGTGTGTGCACGTGTGCATGTATATGTGTACACATTCTAGACCACCTCTCCCCTTATTTTTTAATAGGGTCTCTCACTGGACCTGGAGTTCATCAATTTGATTAGGTCGCCCAGTGAGCTTCAGGACTCTGCTTGTTGCCCTTGCCCTGTGTTGCTGGAGTGTTGGGTGCACACCACCAAGCTTAACTTTTTATCTGGGTTCCTAGGATCTTAACTCAGCTCGATGCTTGTCCTGCAGACACTTTGCTGACCCCCATTTCTCTGTGGGAAAGGTTTTTAAATTGATTTGACTGAGTCTGTTTAAGCACAGAAAGCCTTAACCATTTAAAGTCGGCAGTTTGAGTCTGGCTGACATTCATATGTCATGAAACCACTGTCACAGTGAACATAGGGAGTCTCCATAACTGCTCCCCCCTCGCCTCTGACCTCAACAATTGATGCTTTTTTATGATAAAAACAATTTGATGTCCTAGACTAAATGAAAGTGTAAGTACATACATTTTATCCCAGTATATGGAAATAGAAGCACGCCTAGCTTTTCTCATTATGATTCCAACATTATCCAGGTTGCTGCATGTATTGTTGGTGTCTTCATTTTTATTGGTGAGTGACATTCCATTGCATGGATATACCAGAGCATCAACCTGTTGATAAACACTTGAATTGCAGTTTTCCCCGTATTGAAGACAAGGTGAGGAAGAGTGACCTTGCTGAAGGTCTCACCACCAGTAAACGAGAGTCACAGGATTCTGAGCAGACCTTTCACCTCAGAGCTCTTATTCTGAGCGTTTGTGAGGATTCCTCAGATATGCTGGTATCCTCACCACAGACTGCTAAGAGTGACTGATGGGTGCTTAGTCAAATCCCACCAAGAAAAGAAAGGAGGCCTATTTTCAGAAAATACCTCTAATATTTTCCCTTTCATAAACCTGGCATGTGAATTTTTTTATTTTTGGCACAGAGGCCTGACACACAAACCCATTTCTCCCAAGAGAGCACCTTACCTCTTCACCCACCCAACCCCGGAGAGATGCCCCTCCCTAGCATAAATCTGTTTTTCCATTCAGTTCTGCTTGCGTCCTTAATGGAAAATCAGTTCATATGTCACACTTCACACTCGACTTAGTCCATTTCACTGAATGTGAATGTTTAGAATGCATTATGCGCTAAGAATCATGTTACATATAACTAGTTTCTAGAATTATCTTTGCTCAGAGAATTCCTTGGTTGGCTAGTGAAGGCTGCTTCCTTGAACTTAGAATATCCAGTGGGTGGTGAGAGTCCAGGAGTGATTCCCATGAATCATCCACGCCACTCATTCAACGATGACATTAAGCATCTCCTTGGACACCTGTACGGAGACCTACTGGCTCTCTTAATAAAGCCCAATTCAGGATCTTAGGGAGCAAGGGGTGTTTTCACCTAGGAAGGGGTGATCTCACCTGCTAGGGAGGGTCACTGGTGGGCAGTGGCAAATGGAGAAGAGAGAAGCCAAAAGCAAGTCTCCCTCATTCTGTCTCCTTCTCCTGCCGGCCTCGGAGGTTAGGGTTATGGAGGAGGGTCAACAGGCTTTCACCCAGTGCCAACTGGGGCCTGTGTTGCCCCAGGTGCTAGAGATGGCAGTGACTAAGGCAGTCACAGGCCTCCCGGAGCTTCTGGTCTGGTGAGAAGACACTCCTGGTCCTTGCCTGTCTGCCCGTCAGCCGTGGAGCAGGCTCAGGAGCCTTGTCTCTGTAGCATTCTCAACACCTTCAACCCGGTGAATAGCACTCATCCTGCCCTGACACCTGGGGGAGGGAGGAGAAGCATGACATCTCTCCACCTGTGCCCCATCCTTCCAGGGACTAGGGCAGAAAGACACAGGAGATTTCAGAATGGAAACAGGGAGCGATGTTTGTTTACAAGAGGCTCGGGCATCTGCTGGTGAGCCTGAACACATGATGTGGGGCTGTTTGCAAGATCATGCCAGGCTGTAAGCTCAGATGGATATAGAAGCCAGACGGACAAGCACATGAAACAACAAAAGGATGGACACAGACAGACAGACCAGCTTGAAAGATTTCAAATTAGATTCCAAAGGATGGCAGGCAGGCTGAGGATGTATTTCTCATTGTAAAATGCCCATAGCTCCTGTAGGGCTAAATCCCCAGCATAGAAATTAAATATGAAATTAAAATGACACTTTTAGGCTTATGGTGTTGGAGTTTGTATCCAGGGCCATGTGTAAACAAACTAAGCAGTCTGTCACTGAGCTGGGCTACCAGTCCCCAAGAACGAATCCTTTTTTAAAACTCCTGTAAGTAGAACATATCTGCAGGTTGGATTAAGTCTTTGGAAGCGATTTGCAAACCCTTCACAAACACCAGGATGTCTTTGCCCTAAAGGAACACAGACCCTTGTTGGGAAGCAAAACAGAAGATACGAGAGAATGAGGGGAG